TATTTCAGGCAATCACCTGAAAGACTGTTTTCCCTCCACAGGTAGGGGTTGACCGAAGTGCTCTATCCCATGTACAGTGGGGTCCTGACTTAAGAACGGCTTGAGTTAAGAACATTTTGACTTAAGAACCACTCTCATAGGAAAATATTGACTTGACTTACATACTTAGATTTAAGAACTGAAAAAAACCACGTGGGAGGCAGGGAAAGTGCAAAATTTGAACTTTCAGTTAACTGTTGGCCAGTGAAAAGGGTGCCTGTCTGCTTCCTCACTCCTCCCAGCGTTTAGAGAGTGGATTGGGAGACAGTCTTCAGACTGCCTGGACTGTATTTTCCCTGAACCTTTCTTGACCTAAGAAAAAAAGAAACAAAATATCCCCCTCTAGTGGTCGAAGGCGGAATAGCAGCCTCCCATTAGTTTCTATGGACGGAAAAGAGCAGATACGGATCAAATGGTTTTCAATGCATTCCTATGGGAGATGCAGATTTGATCTGAGAACTTTTTGACTTGAGAACTGCCTTCCAATATGGATTAAGTTCTCAAGTCAAGACCCCACTGTATTAGACCATTAAAGAATGGCCTAATGAAAGGCAAGCAGTTGTTTTTCATCTTTGTGTCAGTGGTGGCATTAAGCAAAGAAAGTCTGTAGGTCAGTAAATTCATAAGAGGAACCCATGTGGCAACAATAATAATACATAAATAATATCGCTTAATAAGAAGCTGGTGGCATAGACCAAGATCCAGCTCTATAGAGCCTGTGTCCTGAGCACACTTCTGTCCTGTATACATTATGGAAACAGATGTCTAAGTTGGCTTGGGCATGGTGTGAGAATGGCTGAAGGTTGGATTCTAGAAGATCTCCTGTATGGAGAATGAGTGCAGGGAAATTGCCCCAGAGGGAGACCACAGCTGCGATACAAGATCTGCAAGAGGGATCTGAAGGCCTTAGGAATGGACCTCAACAGATGGGAAACGACCTCTGAGCGTTCAGCCTGGAGGCAGGCAGTGCATCATGGCCTCTCCCAATTTGAAGAGACCCTCGTCAGCAGGCCAAGGTGAAGAGGCAGTCCCAAAACCAGCAAAATCGGGGAGCTGGACGAAGGATTGTCTTAGGTGTGGAAGGGATGGCCACTCTCGAATTGGCCTTCTCAGCCACACTAGACACTGTTACAAGTCCTCTATTCAGAGCATGTTACCATAGTCTGAGACTAAAGGATGCCTAATTTTAATCTTGAGGGACGTGGTGGCGCTGCGGGCTAAACCGCAGAAGCCTGTGCTGCAGGGTCAGAAGACCAGCAGTCGTAAGATCGAATCCATGTGACGGAGTGAGCGCCCGTCGCTTGTCCCAGCTTCTGCCAACCTAGCAGTTCAAAAGCATGTAAATGTGAGTAGATAAATAGGAACCATCTTGGTGGGAAGGTAAAACGGCATTCCCTAGTCATGCTGGCCACGTGACAATGGAAACTGTGGTCAAGCACTGGCTCTACAGCTCGAAAAATGGGATGAGCACTGCCCCCTAGAGTCGGACACGACTGGACTAAAAATGTCAAGGGGAACCTTTACCTTTAATCTTAATTTAAATAATAATTTAACAGATACTTAGGTTTTGGGTTAAAACTTGTATGTTATACCAGTCAATGTTTTTATAATTTTGATTGCCTGGTGTTTCTGAATAATAATAAAAACAAAAAGTGGCCATCAACACTCAGGCTGCACTGTTCTTGGCAGTGCTCACTAGTAGCCCTCACAAACCTCCCAGTGTGTTTGTGCTTACCTGCAGCTCCTACAGATAAATTCCTGCCATCTCCTAGCTGTGGAAGAGCATGATAGGGCAAACCCAAGTGTAAGGTTGTACTTGTAACGGAAGTAGCTAGGTTAGCCAGTGCAATCATTTTAAATTTAGAAAACCACACACAATCAAAAGAACAAAAGATAAAAATGTGGCACCTTGAAGACTTCTATTTTAATGTGAACAAGTCCACGCCCATAAGGACAAGCTGCTCTCTTCCCACCCTGGGCTTCTGATCACATTGTGGATGGGGGGTGGTGGTCTCTTACTGAAAGGTCAGCTGCATCTTATAGAGACCCTTGCATCCAATGATCACAAGCCTGGGTGGGCTTCTGCTCTCCCTGAGCTGTGCAAACCCAGCTCCACCGATGGATAGCACCAACAGTGTATACCACCTGGCCTAAGGAATCCTGCTGTCTCTGAAGGCAACTGCATAAGCCCGCGCTTCAGTCTACACCCAGTTCTTTTATGAACAGCTGAACCAAGCGTCAGATGTGCCCCTCCTGCCTTGCACAACTACTTGGGTACGGGAGTCTTGCGAAGAGAGCATTCCTGGCTCAGGCTCCCTCTTGCTTCTCAGTCAAAGGATTCAGGTGCCTACCTTTGCAGTAGCATGCCTCTTATCAGCCACTGGCAATGCTAGCGAGTTCAGTCTCTGGTCTGTGCATGGGGTTCAAATCCTACTATCTACGTACTGTTGAGACCAGACCCTAGCTGGCACAGAGCCCACCTCTCATTTAGCACAATCTGCTTTTGTTTGCAGAAGACAAAGTTCTTGACATTCAGTGAAGGGTGCCCACCTCATGTTCCCCCCCCCTCCAGCTTAATAATGCAGATACATTACAGGGGTGCTAGAATTATTCAGATCCACTTTAAGTATGCCTTGCTTCCCAGATTTTGGTCCCAGAGACACCCAGATAAAATTTCAGAGCCCTTTAGCAACCGCCTCGCAAAAATGACATTTTGTGTGGGGCCTTTGAATACCAAAAGGTAAGGAATTTCATTTGCTGAATTTCTAGTTAATTTGAACCTAAGCAAGTCATTATTTTTTTTCAAGCCATTATGCTAAGTAAGTAGACTTTGAGAGTTGCTACAGGCAGCAGGATGGCGGTGGTGGTCTAAGACACTGGTCCTCAGTCACCAAAAGAACTTGGTGGCTAAGTTAGCAGGGATACATCATTACTTCCCTTGGAGAGCTAGAATGGTGTAGGGTTTAGTTGTCCTCAAACTGAAGGCCAAGCCAGGCACGAGCTTCCACGATTTGTGTCTTCTGCTACCCATTATGAATCTCTTCCTGGCCCTGCACAGTACTCGCTGCTCCCCAGACTCCGGAAAGGTTGGGCTTCTCGTTGATCCCAACTCCCAGACATTCTGGGTGGTGGATAGTGACAAAGGGTGCTTGCCACTTTCTTGCTCAGTGATGTATGCAACATTCAGTCCTTTTNGTCCCCCGGGGGGGGGGGGGAACCAAACAGGAGGAGGAGTACACCCAGTCACCACCCAGGTCCCCCAGTCCTGCCAGTTAGCAATCTGTACCAGAACTGTTCCCACTGTAACCCAAGTGGCAACTGATGGGGTGGCTGGATAACAGCAGAGACACACTGAAAGGGGCAGATTCCTTCCTTTGTCCAGGCATGACTGCTGTTTGCAACGGGGGGGGGGGGGAACCAAACAGGAGGAGGAGTACACCCAGTCACCACCCAGGTCCCCCAGTCCTGCCAGTTAGCAATCTGTACCAGAACTGTTCCCACTGTAACCCAAGTGGCAACTGATGGGGTGGCTGGATAACAGCAGAGACACACTGAAAGGGGCAGATTCCTTCCTTTGTCCAGGCATGACTGCTGTTTGCAAGGGTGACACTTCAGCCATTTGAGATCTGCAATGACCCTCCTAGTCTCATTTCCTCAAAACAGGATCAAGAAAGTGGGCTCAGAAGACCAAGCAGTCATAAGATCGAATCCACGCGACGCAGTGAGCGCCCGTCACTTGTCCCAGCTCCCGCCAACCTAGTGGTTTGAAAGCATGCAAATGCAAGTAGATAAATAGGGACCACCTCGGTGGGAAGGTAACGGCGTTCCCTGTCTAAGTCGCACTGGCCATGTGACCATGGAAGATTGACATCGGACAAACACTGGCTCTATGGCTTGGAAACGGGGATGAGCACCGCCCCCTAGAGTCGAACACGACTGGACAAAAAAAATTGTCAAAGGGAACCTTTACCTTTACCTGCAGAGGAAGCTCTGCTGGGCCTCTGGAAGAAGAAGCAATGGTTCCCCACCTGCTCTGGAGATAAAGGTGGCTTACAAAGGTAATAATCCAATCCCGTAAGAGGGGTGTGTGCACGTGCGTATGTGTGTGCAGAAGGCCCTCTTGCCAGCACCTCTCCCCATCAGCCACATTGTGGACACAAGGGACAGGCAGCCCTCCTTCCCCAAACCTTCAGTTGTATTGCCCGGGGATCTGAAGGCCTTAGGAATGCATTTTCTCAACAGATGGGAAACCTTAACCTTCTGAGCGCTCAGCCTGGAGGCAGGCGTTGCATCACGGCCTCTCCCAATTTGAAGAGACCCTTGTCCAGCAGGCTGAGGCCAAGAGGCCGTGTGGAAACCAGCCAAATCAGGGAGCTGGACAGGGGACAGATTGTATTTGCCTTCCATGTGGAAGAAGGGATTGCCACTCTCGAATTGGCCTTCTCAGCCATACTATATGCTGTTCCAAGTCCTCTATTCAGAGCACATGACCAGATTCTCTTGAGAGGGAAGGAGGCCTACAGTATTGGGGGGGGGGGCTTGACTCTGGAAAGGGGCTGCACAGAGGGGCCCAGGCTCCTGGTTGACTCCATTCAGAGAAGGAGATTGCCAGTCCCTGGGACTTCCACCTGGGCAAGTGACCACAGTCCAGCATTTGGAAGGGACCTGGGGCTTCCGCTGGGCCCCAAGGCAACATTGACTGCTTCCCAGGACCACCATCCCCCCCCCCTGCGTGCGCACACTGCAAAGACCAGACAGGTGCCTCACCTCCTGGACGGGGAGCCCCACAACCACTTCGCAAGGGAGGTGCCCACTTTGTTGCTAAGCGCCAGTCATTTCACCACTACTAACAGCAGGCAGGTTTGAACGCTTTTAGTAACTGTAAACACAGACGGTCTACCTGCCAATGAAACAAATACACCGCAGTGCCCCCACCCTACCCCCACGGAAAGAGCCCCAGGCATTTCTCTGTGTTACCAGAGTCCCTCCTGAGGAGTGGTCGTCCCCCCACCCTCCTTCTGAAACAGGCTCCTACCCTCCTGCAGCCTTCAGGGTGCCCAGGGTGGGCGGGTGGGTGGATGGGAGTCCCCTCCCTGCCAGCCGTGGTGCCACAGAGAGGCTTCCACAGAGCAAGCAACCGCCCTGCTGCAATACAAGTGGCTACCTGGGCGCGGCAGAAGTACGTGGCCCAAGGTCCTCCCAGTGGCCCAGCAGTCGCCCTGTGTGGCCCCCATGTGAAGGAGGGCCCTCGCTGGCCATCTCCCCCCACCCCTCCCTTGGGGAAAAGGACCCTCCCTCTCCTGTTTGCTTCCTCTGAACCTCAAGGCCCTGAGACTCTCCGCTGGTCTCAGCTTTTTAAAAGCGGCCCATAGCTCCCGTCTTTTCTCCCGTCTCCGCTGCCGACAGACGTTTCGTGAAGGGAGTGAGAGGAACAAAACTCCTTCTTCCATAAAGGGAGGGCCCAGAGGATCTGATGGGAGAGGCCAGTTGGACAGATAGGCCGAGAAGGCGGCGGCCTGGGGACGGCGGGGGGACCGCCTTGCCTTTCCAGCTCCCTATTCAGGCTGAATTTAATACACAGAACAAGAGACGGAACAGCCAGAAACGTCAAGGAAGGTATTTCAAAAAACAACCGAAGGGGTGCAAGTAGGTGTGCCGGGGAAACAGCCGGGCCAGGCGCTGAAGGTCCCCGTTCTCCTGCCTCCTGCTTCCAACCCAGAAGACACTCCAGGAACGTCCTTCTTCCGAAGCACCGGGTTCGGCAGCCCAGCTTGGCGGCTGCATCCATCGCAGGCGGCTTCTGGCTCCTGCAGAATGGCAGCCGCGGCCCAAGGGAACCGCCGGCGTTCTCCTCCTCATCGCCGCTCCAGGCCAAAGGCTGAGATGCCAGCCCGGCTCCATCTCCAGCTGCCCTCCTTGGGCAAGGCTCCGTTCCGGGGCTCACGAAGGTGATGTCCAGCTGGCCAGGAGGGGAGGGGGCAGCAGGCGCTGCTTCCCCCTCACAAACTGCAGGAGTCCCAGCTGATGCCCTTGCCTCCACCACCTCCTAGGCCAGCATCAGATACAAAGTGCAAAGTGTTGCCATTCTGCATCCATTAAAAACTTTACAAAATAAAACACCTATCAAACAAAGAGTCCCTCTCAACTTGAAAAATATATGAGGCCTCCCAGAGACCATCTGACCAACCAGACCCACCCCCTTCCTCCCCCTTTTGTGATGGCGGCTCCCCCCCTCCCCCTAGGATGCCAGCTACTGGCCTGGCTCCAGAGGAGTGGCAGGCCATGGAGAGGCTCCTGGCGGCACCCTTTTCCCTGAAACAGCACCCGGGGGGGGGCGGCATGGACACCGGCAGCAAGAAAGGCCTGCCGCTGACCCTGCAGGCTGCCTTGCTACGGCTCCTGCCCTTCCCACCTCACCAGCCAATGTCTGTGATAAGGCATTATTGCTATGCAAAGGGTGACGAGGTCCCCAGGCCGCTCGGCTTTGCTCAGTCGCCCCCGCGCAGGCAGGTACTGCCTAGTTCCTCAAAGAGCCACCGAGACCAGGAGGCCAGAGCACGTGTGGCCACAGGAGCGCCTCCAGACCGCAAGGGGACTCGGGAAGGGGCAGAAGTTGCAACGGAAGGCAGGCCGGAGGCTTCCACCAGAACGGGCGAAGGCAGAACAACGGTGACACCCCATGGGTGACAACGGACCGATGTGACACGATAACAGCGGAGGAACCTTCTGGTGGGGAATTGGGGGGGCAACCTTGGCGCTTGGCACCTTGCCAGCTGTCTCATCAATGCAGCATCGATTGGAAGTAAAAACAACACGGTCACGAGGGGAGCCTGCCTCCCAGGGTGGCAGTCCAGGCTGGGTCAGGGCACACCGGTGGTCCCCTCCCTCCTCAAGCAGGGCCGTTCAGAAGGGCTTCAGCCCCCGGGAGGAGCTCCTCTTTCCTGTAGAGACAGACAGAGAGAGAGAGAGAGAGAGAGGTGAAAGGCCTTACTCCCCCCCTCCCCCATGCGTGCCTCCATTTCTCTCTGCTCTGCCAAGGGCCATTTACCGGGTCAGCCCCTTCTGGCAAAGTCAGGGGACAGAGAGATTTGTTTGTGGCCTTGAAGCTTCAAGGGACCGGCGGGCGAGTCCTCCTCCCAGTTTGCAGGCAAGCCTGAACACACCCTCCAAGGGACGAGGTCCTGACTATAGCCACTGCTCAGTTCCCCAGGGCAGCCTCCCCCCTGCCTCTTGATTCGTATGGAAATTCTGCTCTCCTGTTCATTCCCAGGCGGGCGCCCCACAGATTCAGAGAAGGGAAGCACTGGAGGAACCAGCCATCAGCAGCACCAGGAGGAGGAGGAGGAGGTCTGTGGAGGCGCAGCTCCCCACCTGTCCCTCTTGGCTTCGGAGACAGCCATGGCTACAGCAGCCCCTGGGAGCTCTCCACGCAGCTGGGCAGTCCGGCTCTCCAAGGCCTTCTTCACCGGTTCACTCTCCAGAGCACTGGTCCTCTTGTCGTCTCCAGCCACGGGGTCGCTGCTGCCAAGGGAGAAGCCCCAGGTCAGCGGCCAGCGGAGGGACAGGCGCTGCCAGAGTTCCCAGCCAAATGCAAGGCTCCACTGTGTTCTCCCAGGCCCTCAACACCTATCATCACTCTCCTCCCTGCCCCTTGGTGCCACGTTGGCACCCAACATGATCCTGCTGCCCCACAGATGGTTGGTTGGCAGGAAGCACCAAGGGAGGAGGAGGAGATGGGGTGGGGGTGTCGTCCCCCCCCCAGGCAGGGGTTTGCTCAGGTTCTGGGCAGGTCAGTGGCCAAAGGAGAAACAGGAAGGGTGACAAGCAGGAAGTGGTCTGGATGGTGAGGCTGAAGCTGACAGCACGGAAGGCAAGAGGGGAGACCCGCCAACGTGTGTGTGTGTGTGTGTGTGTGTGTGTGTGTGTGTGTGCGTGCGTGCGTGCGTGCGTGCGTGTTGGACAAAGACAGGCTATGCAGGTGTTCTGGGTCTCCAAGGCTCAGACCAAGGTGGCAGAACCCAAGGGAATGGGCCGACGAGGGGGAAGCGGCTGCCTGGCCAGTCTCCACGCTGCAGCAATCTGCGCTACGGTCAAAGGGCACCCCTGGACCTTGGAAGAACGGGTCGATAGCCCTGCTCTCACCCCAAAAATATTTTACTTACAACTTGCAAACTGAAAGAAGAGACTAACGTTTCTGACAGGTACCATCAGGCAGTTAGAAAAAAAATTGAAAAATGTTTTGGGAATGCAGGAAACTCAAGAACCGAGGGAGGTGGGAGGGACCTCAATTATGCCAGAACTGCCTCAAAAGCACAACACACACACACACCCCAGCAGCCAGAAAGGGGCTCTCTGAGCAACAGAGAATACATTTGTCAAAAGAGAGAGAGAGAGCTATATTTATACACATGCACACAAAATGAATAAAATAAGAAACTTGGGGGGGGGGAACCTCTGGGGTGCAACCTGCCCCCCCTCCTGCACAACCCAAGGTGCGCTCATCGCCTCCTTGGCCCCTTTGTAGACTCACAGCCCCTGAGACAGGACTGCTCCTAAATGTCTCCTCTCAAGTGGTGACGAAACAGGTGAGTGACAGGAATTTGAAAAGCCCCTCCCCTGGGGAAAGCCCCCCCCCCACTCTCCTGCAAGACAAAGGCTGCAAAGGTGTCCACGTGCTTTGGGACTCCTGCTGCTGGAGTCCGGGCTCCACGGGCAGGCCACGGAATCACCTCTTTGCCCCAACGCCAGCGTGCCACCCCCGGGGAGGGAGAGCCATTCCAGCCACAGGGACTCCCACTGTTCTGAGAAGGCAGGAGTCAAGAGCAGGGATTACACGGAAGGCTGGGGAGACCTCCTCCCAGGGAATTCCCCAGGAGGCTGCAAAAGGCGGCCGGAACCGCCCACCAGGGAAGCACGTCTTTCCTGATAATTATACGAAGGAAGTTGCTAGAGAGAAAGGCAGGAAGGTGTGTCTGTGTGTGTGTGGGGGGGAAGGCATGTCATGGGGGAAGCCGTTCCTTCCTCCTCCCATCTACCCCCCTGAACACACAATCAATCGCCAAGAAACCATGGCCAGGGACAACCCTTAGCCCCCCTCCCCTTTCAGGTGGCGGCAGAAATCATGGCTCTGGTCACAGGACAACAGTTCAAAGCAGGCTTGTCCAACCCGCGACCCAAGGGCCGCATGCGGCCCAGGTCAGCTCATAATGTGGCCCAGTGCAATTTTTTATTTTTAAAGAAATCCCATAGTTTCAAGTTACACTGCCGGCGCTTGCGGCTGGAATGTGGCCGGGGCACGTCACAACAGTAGAGGGGGAGAGAGGGAAGGAAAGAAGGAGTGGGAGGGGAGGGGACAGGGGGGCTGCGTGACTGCATTGCGCCGTCCCCGTCAATAGGTAGCCCCCCTCCCGGCCCCATAAGGCCGCCGGAGTCGAAGCTGGCAGCCTCTGCTGTCTGAGATCGCAGCTGCCGGTAAGCGTGCTTGGAGTGGGGCTGCGGAGGATGGCTAGGGATGCCTCCCCATGCGGCCCAAACCAAATGTATGTGCGGCCCAAACCAAATTTTCATCTTCTAATGTGGCCCGGGGAAGGTGAAAGGTTGGACACCCCTGGTTTAAAGCATCAGATGAAATAAGAGACCGCCCCTGATGTCTCAAAACAACAGCTTCATTGCCCCAGAAACAGACAGCCGCTCCCCTCAGGCGCCAGACCCACGAGCCAGGTCACTCTTGCAGGATGACTCAAAGCTGCTGCCTGCATCATAGGATCCCCTGCTTTCCTCCCCCCCCCCAATGGGAAGGGCATTTCCTGACAACCTCCCAGAGGCCCGAAGGTGCCCCTCCTGGGCCTTGCGTCTCCAGGTGAGCCCTGATCTCTCTCTCTCTCTCTCTCTCTCTCACACACACACACACACACACACAGAGCTAGCGGTGTCAATCTCAAGGGTTCCGTCAAGCCCCTGGAACCACCTACCCAAAGCCAAACGCCCACGCTTGCGCCAAAAGCAGGGGTCCTCTCCTCCAGGGACAGACTCTTGAGTGTGAAGCCAAATTACTAGGCAGGGAGCCTGGCCTCCCCCAACAGGGTGGCCCTGCCCAAGGTCTTGGTCCAGGGATCCTTTGGGGCCCCATCCGGGTTAAGGTGACCACAAACAGACCAAGAAGACGGGACGACTGAAATCCACCCAAGTGCAAATCCTGCTAGTGCTCTTGTCAGCAACTGGCAACGTGGGCTTTCAGAGAACACCCCCCCCCGGGCTTCCCCATAGGATATTGCCCCCTCTCAATCACACTCATCATCCACAACAGAGACCCAACACGGGGGCCACGACCTGCACCAGACCCAGAATGCCCCTCCTGTCGAGTAGCAGGTGACACACAAGGCAGGCACCAGACGTGGCTTCAACATCGGCCTTGGTGGCATAGACCCATTTCCGCTGCCCACCCGACAGGAAACCTGCTAGCCGAGGCCATCTGCAGCCTGGCGGCTCCGTGCCTCAGCTAAGGGGCCACTGCCACGTGACCTGCACACCATTTTCTACAAGTGGGACAGTTTCTTCTTCCTGCCTGACCTCGCGAGGTGGCGATCCTCGGGGGCTCTGTGTGGGGGTCCAGAGCAACCCTCTCCCCACAGAGCCACCGGAGGCCTGGCGCTACCTTGAGCCCCTGCACTGTGTCCACCTGCCCGCCCGCCCACCCGCCCGCCCAGAGACCCAGCTGAGGTTCAGGCTGGCTTTTGATGGCCCCTCCAATTCCTCCCCTCAACCCCGTCCCGCCCTGCCCAAGCCAGCGCCTTCGTACCTGGTGAACACGGCCTTCTCGTGCTTGGTGTCCACCGTCAAGCTGACAGTCTCCTGGCCCGAATTGGCACTGAGGGCTTCCGTGACCGCCGTTGCTTTGTCCTCCTCCTCCTCCTCACTATCCGAGCCACCAGAGGAGCTGCTGTCGGAGGCCACCAGGGGCGCCTTCCGTGCCACACAGACGTTCCAGACGCAAGGGGAGGTGGCGCTGGCTGGGTGGAGAGAAAGCACACATTACCCACCAAGCACGCTCCCCAGGCTGGCTGGCTGGCTGGCTGGGCTCCTGCCACCACCGGGCATGCAGCAGGCAGGCCGACATGCCCGAGGTGCTCAGGCAGGGGCCCCTGACCCCCGACCTGGAAGGCTGCTGGAGAACAAGCCGGGTCTTCCCGGCAAGGCAGCGGAGCCTCCATTTCACAAGCGGCCTCTCATCGGCCACCGGCTTCCTCTCTGCTGGACACCTCCAGCAGGCCTCCCAAATGGCACTTCGTTTTTCTTTTTAAGGGCACCTTTCCCCTGCGCATCTTGCCAACTTTTCAAGTGTCTGCTTCCTGAAGATGACCCAACCCCCTGGCCATAATGCTGGCTTCAGCTGACAGCCAAGCCATGAGACACTGTGCTCTCCCCCACCTTATGTATAAGGTGGGGGAGAGCACTTATGTATAAGGTGGGGGAGAGCAC